GGTCTTTTCCAATAATCTTGAGGATGTCATCATTAATAGAAATTGTCTATTCCTCCTTAGAGCTCTCCTCCTTCTCTGGCTCCTTTCCCTCTGCAACAAAAAAAAGCCAACGCAATGTAAACAAAGCCGTCGCACTTCTTGAGTCAGGCAGAACAAGGAAAGACATAGAAAAGGGGGGAAGGAGAAAATGAGAGAGAGATAGGTGTGAGAAGGTACCGAACCAGATGCACATGCATCTATTTAATCTCTTTCTCGCATACTTGGGCCTGACACGCGATGATGTAGGCCTGCGCCACCTATTTGTGTGGGCTAATGGGCAAAGTGTACATGCGTTTAGTATGTATGCATATATAGATATATATATCCGTAAATTATCCAAAAAAAAGACGATGTGGTGATTGTCCTAAGAGGACCTTCTTGTCTATGCATTCGCGATAGACGTCCCTCTTTGCTCTTACGCCTAACAAGAATTGCACGTACGTACCTTTGTTTGAGCCATCGTCGCTCTTACTGCTCTTGTGCTCGGACCCCTCGAAAGAAGCGTCTGAGTCGGACCCAGGATCATCGTCTTGGGGCTGCTTCTCCAAGGTCTCTTTGCCTCTTCTCAGCAAGTTCATCTGCTCAGAAAGCAACCTCCTCTGCTTCTGCAGGACCTTGTCATCCCTGTCCTCAGCCTTTCTCTTGCCCATCACTTTCACTTTTACCTATTAGCGCACGATGTTCACTCTAGCACACAATGAAAAAATATGAAAAGCTTGGTGGCAGGCGCGGAAAAGAGAACCCCTCTCCCTGTGCTATATATAGACATATGTATAGTTTCTTTTTATATATAGGGCTATGGACGTTGTGACCTCCAGCGGATGAAAGGGTAACTACGAGTAATCTCGAGAACGAGGCGAATGAAGTATAAGCGTCATTATCATTATCTTCATTGTTAGTATGACCATCATTATTATTATTGTTACATTCGTTATGACCATCATCATCTCAATCATCATAGTAATCATCAACAGCATCATAATCGTTATCATTATCATTACAGTTATACCACTATCAGCACTATTATTACCGCCTAAATAATCACAATCGTAAAAACAGACAACAGTCCAAGACTTATTCCTAAAAAAATACTATCATCATTTAAACCACCACTTTTATTAGTATTTCCATGACTACCATCATCATTGTTATTATGGTTCTCAGCATTATCATAATTATTCATATAATTGTCATAGTTAATATAATTTTGCTAAATGACAATGACATAACTTTCATAATCATCACATATCGTCGTTATCGTCGTTATTATTATTGCTATTACGGATAACATCATTATCCTCGTCATAATCATTATTATTTTCCACTTTATTATCATCGTGATACGTATCACTATCATAAGCAAAATTATTATTATCATCATAATTATTATTNTTTTTAGCGTTATCATAACCATTATTATTTTAATCATTATCGTTATTTCCATTTCAAATATAATTTTCATCATCATGTAGATCAATATTATCCTTATTACTATCATTATCAATATTATTATCATTTTTATTGTTATTACTGTTATCTTGATAATTAGTTTTTAGTATCATCATCGTCATTATTATTTTATTCAATATCATTGTCAGTATAATTAGTGTAGTTATCAACACTATGAGTAAAACCATGACGGTTCAATTCCTTACAATTACAAATACAAAAAGTCTCTAACTCATCACTATCACTTTTGTTGTTATCAATCTCACTATCGCGTCTACCGGCATCCTTATTATTCGTGTCATAATCATAGACATTGTTTTTGTTATTGTTATCATTCTTCTAAGCATTATACTTATCGTTATTATAATTACTTTTATCTAAGTTTACAAACATTTTCTAAGTATCATTATGACTTTCATCATTATTATCATCACCATTACTATCACTATTATCAACTTTATTGTTATCATCATTATTAAAGTCATAATGCTTAACTACATAAATCACATAATAGTTTACTACAGTCAGTATTAAGCAGTGTGATAAAAAATGTTTACTAATTTTTCAAAATTTATTTTATCTTAGAAATACAAAAAAAATTATTTTAAATAAAT